AATCTCTTACATTTAGAGTGCTGTGCCCAAGGCTGGTCAGTTTAGGCAGTGAAACTGAATATCTGTTACATAGTTATACAATAAATCAGGTGTGCTAGTGAGTGAAGAGATTCATTTATAACAGTATTATTTTATAGTCCCAATTTATTTAGTACTTTAGTAGTATTATTTTAACGGTATATGCTTTGGCAAAAACCCAGTGCATTATCCGTAGGGCCGTCTGGAACTAAAACTTTGCCAAGGATTTCAAGCCAGAGCAATCCAATAAGAGGAGGTCAAACTAGAGAGTGAACATGTTCTCACTAATGACAAGCATGTCCACCCAAAGTAAGCATGTCCCTTCAGTGGCTATGCAGAGCCTTATAAAGTGCTCTCACATGTGGAAAATAACCTGTGTTATTTAATGGCATATTTGTGCTGTATTTCTTTGTGACTCATCCCTGGTGTTCTCATAAATGCAGTCCGAGGACAAAAGTGGAGCAGGGTAGGTGCATATGTTTGTGTAATCTTTGCAGTGTTTTGTGTGCAGTTGTGTGGGGGCAGTTGTTTGCTCTCTAAAGTGTTGAAGAGAATATTTGTGCTGTTTTAGATGTGTAGGATGGCACTGTTTGTGTAGTGGGTAGGTTTGTGTGGTGTGTAGATATGGTCTGTTTCTGTTTTATGGTATGTTTGTGTTGTATTTTTTGTGTATGTTGATAGGAACTGCTTGTGATGTAGTAAATGTGGGAAAGGGCAGTTTGCAGTGTAGTGTGTGGATAGGGTCTGTATGGGATGTAGCGAGTATGTGTACATAGTTTCGGTTTGTGATATATTTTGTGTGTGGATAGGGCCTGTTTGTCATGTTCGGAGTCTGTGGGTAAGGTCTGTCTGTAATGTATATTGTGTGTTGGTAGAGCCTGTTTGTGGTGTATAGTATGTGTGGACTGAGGCTATTTGTGTTATGTGTGTGCACAGGTGCTGTTTGTGGTGTAGTTTGTGCAAAAGGGTTGTTTATTATGTGAGTACATAGATAAGTGCTATTTGTGGTGCAGCATGACCTGTAAATGGTGTCAATTACAATGAACTGTAATCAGCTATATTCAGTATGTGAAATCCATGGCAAAAAAATATGAAAAGCATAATTACACTCCCACAAATAATACTTTTTGTATCAATGTATTATTACTGTAAAAGAGATTTGGCAAAGAGTCAAGCTGAATATCAACATATAATGAAATATATACATTTTGTTTTTATCCTGTTTTTAATGTTTAATCAATTATATATTATTTATGGATCACTCCAAGATATTTCATAATTTTAGGACATTGTTCTGTTTTAAATTTTTATTTATTTATTTTTTTATGTATTTGTTAAAACTTTTAAAAAAACACAACAACTTTTGACGTGCACTTGTGCGGGTGAGCAACTTTACAGCTTGTCTACTAAGTCACAGAACCATGAGGAAAATCCAAGTGCCATCAGTCAACATTGGTTCCACTCCAAGGTAAGCCACAAAACAGAAGAAGACTATGCACAAAAAGGATCCAATCACAAGGCAGATTTATTGGCAAAGGCTCTTACCTTGTAGCGCTACAAATCTGCTTTGGGATTATATGCATATATGCAATCTTTGCCTGCCATTTTTTGTGGACTGTGTAATAGGTCAAGACTTGACTTAGTATATATATATATATATATATATATATAAAAAATAGAAAAAATAGAAAAGTCCTTGCACTCACGCTTGGATGATTTAATAACCGGGTGCTTGTAATCCAGGAAAATTAAAATAAATTCAGATAGTGATCAGCACTCACGGATTTTCAAGAATTAAAATTAACAATTTATTAAGTATCCATTAAAAGATCAACGTTTCAGTCCCAGCAGGGACTTTCATCAGGATCAGGCATAAACAGTATAGTAAAACAGTGCATTTATATATCATAAGTATTAGTGGAATTAGTGATGAAATAACTTACCCCAGGTGCTGAGGGTGGTGGGAGTGGTGCCCCTGGCGCCCCCCTGTGTCCTGTACACATGTGCGAACGAGGCCACGCCCCATGCGACGTGATGACGTCACGCGTTGCCGCGGCAACGGAAGTCACATGATGCAGGAAGCAGGAAGTGACCTACATGTAAGGTTGCTATAACAACTTTGTATAACATTTTTTACATGTAGGTCACTTCCTGCTTCCTGCATCATGTGACTTCCGTTGCCGCGGCAACGCGTGACGTCATCACGTCGCGTGGGGGCGTGGCCTCGTTCGCACATGTGCACAGGACACAGGGGGACGCCAGGGGCACCACTCCCACCACCCTCAGCACCTGGGGTAAGTTATTTCATCACTAATTCCACTAATACTTATGATATATAAATGCACTGTTTTACTATACTGTTTATGCCTGATCCTGATGAAAGTCCCTGCTGGGACTGAAACGTTGATCTTTTAATGGATACTTAATAAATTGTTAATTTTAATTCTTGAAAATCCGTGAGTGCTGATCACTATCTGAATTTATATATATATATATATATATATATATATATATATATATAGTATATAAATTAGCCACTATATGCTAAAGTAGCGGTTTTAGTGTAATTAAAATGCAGACACCATCCCTGAGTTTCTAATCAAACCATTATGAGCTGTTTAACAACAACCAGGGATCCCCAAACCCTTTTCAGTCCTGGCTCCCCAGAATTGATATGCAGAAAGCCCATTATCAATTTCGTGCATATGTTAATTCCATTCATTGATTGAATTGATCATTTGAAAGACATTTCTAAATTTCTTAATATTCTTTGATTGTCATCCTTTTAAACCCTAGTCAGTCTGTTTCATAGTAAGCTGAACACAGTATTGGGCAGTTTTATTGTGTACCACAGAATATGGTAACTGTGTTGTCACAGACAAGCAACATTCTATCTATTATTACACTACATTCGATTGCTGTAGGTCAGTGATGACGAACCTTTTTGAGCCCGAGTGCCCAAACCGCAATACATGCCAACTTTTTTTTCCTCAAAGTGCCAACATGGCAATTAAGCCTGAATACTGAGGTTTAAGTTTAGAAAAAAACTTTTGTTTTAAAAGAAGAACACAACAGAGAGATCAATGATACAAATTTTAAATTATGATATAAATAGATAAAATTAAGCTTATATTTATTAGTATCTCCAACAAATGCAATACATACACACAGACTGCTGAACACATACACACACCGGCTGCTAAATACATCCACACACCGTCCCCTAAATACATACACACCGTCCGCTAAATACACACACACACCGTCCGCTAAATACACACACAGTCCGCTAAATACACATACAGACTGATTGCTGAATACACATACAGACAGACTGCTGAATACACACAGACTGCTAAATACACACACTGCTGAATACACACACACACAGTCTACTGAATACATACACTGCTGAGTACACACACACACAAACTGCTGAGTACACACACTTACAGACTGCTGAGTACACACACTCACAGACTGCTGAGTACATACACTCACAGACTGCTGAGTACATACATACACACACACACACAGACTGCTGAATACACACACACTGATGAGTACACAGAGACTGCTGAATACATACACACACACACAGACTGCTGAGTACACACACACAGACTGCTGAATACATACACTGCTGAATACACACACACAGTCTGAAGAATACATACACTGCTGAGTACACACACACACACACAGACTGCTGAATACATACACACACCGCTGAGTACACACAGACTGCTGAATACATACACACACACAGACACACACAGACTGCTAAATACATACACACACACACACACAGACTGCTGAATACATACACTGCTGAATACACACACACAGTCTGAAGAATACATACACTGCTGAGTACACACACACACACACACACACACAGACTGCTGAATACATACACACACCACTGAGTACACACAGACTGCTGAATACATACACACACACAGACACACACAGACTGCTAAATACATACACACACACACACACACACACAGACTGCTGAATACATACACTGCTGAATACACACACAGAGTCTGCTGAATACATACACTGCTGAGTACACACACACACACACACACACATACTGCTGAATACATACACACACACTGCTGAATACATACACTGGGTTGAATACACACACAGTCTGAAGAATACATTACACTGCTGAGTACACACACACACACACAGACTGCTGAATACATACACACACCGCTGAGTACACACAGACTGCTGAATACATACACACACACAGACACACACAGACTGCTAAATACATACACACACACACACACAGACTGCTGAATACATACACTGCTGAATACACACACACAGTCTGAAGAATACATACACTGCTGAGTACACACACACACACACACACACACAGACTGCTGAATACATACACACACCACTGAGTACACACAGACTGCTGAATACATACACACACACAGACACACACAGACTGCTAAATACATACACACACACACACACACACACAGACTGCTGAATACATACACTGCTGAATACACACACAGAGTCTGCTGAATACATACACTGCTGAGTACACACACACACACACACACACATACTGCTGAATACATACACACACACTGCTGAGTACACACAGACTGCTGAATACACACATACACACACACAGAGACTGCTGAATACACACACACAGACTGCTGAATACACCCACAAAGACTGCTGAATACACCCACAAAGACTGCTGAGTACACACAGACTGCTGAATACACACACACTGCTGAGTACACACAGTCTGATGAATACATACACACACACAGACTGCTGAATACATACACACAGACAGACTGCTGAATACACATACAGACAGACTGCTGAATACACATACAGACTGCTGAATACACACACACACACAGACTGCTGAATACATACACTGCTGAATACACACACACAGTCTGCTGAATACATACTGTAACGGATCACCTGGCACCCCGACTGGGTACCTCCGTTGAAGGATGCTCCTAGCGCTTCCTGAGGACTCCAAGCACTCTGGCAGACACCACAATCACCGAACCGGAGAAACAAATAAATTCTCCCAAAGCATATGAATGCTGTAGACAGTTGAATAGGAACCATACGAATAGGTTTACTCTCCTAGCAGTCAAACTGGAACAGCATACAATAAATCCTTCCCCCAATAATGAGATGACACTTCACTTTGAGGGTTAAAACAGGAACTCCCTGTACTGTCACATACAGTCTCTTTTATTCCCAATCCACAAACATAGTACAGCCCACAGGGCGTTACAAAACAGACAATCAATCCATACAATACACCCAGACACTCCCACACAAAATCCTCCCCTCTGGCTGTGATATAATTACTGAACACAATGGGTAATCTAATTATCACAGCCAGAGAAATACAGTTTCATAAAACACATCACAGGGACCCCAAAACATGCAATAACCCCATAAAAAAAGTATATCCTTGGAACTGGGGGATCTGGGTGAACCACATATCCAAAATTCACCCAGATCTGTTCAGTACTTTGGAAAATACAGTTTAATGCAGATTCTGCAGAACATATACAGGCTAAATAAAAAAACAATCACTGTATAATGTGTCCCCTGCTGTATAGTCCAAAACCACCGCACGATGTCTCTGTGCAACAAATACTGGCGAGATGGCACCGTGTTGAAAAGTCCAAACAGTGTCTGGGAGTTAAAATGGCCGCCATCCATTGTTCTCACCATGTGCTTCTGATACAGGAAATGGTGGCCACCCAGTAACTCCACAGTATGTCCCCAGATGGTTCTTAAAAGGGCCAGCAGCAGCACAACACAAATCCATTATGCCCAAATCATGTCTTTAAAGGGCAATACATCCCAGGGGCCATAGTCACCTGGCAGGAGGCTGGCAACCAGGCTTCTCCAGTGCATAGTGGCGAGGTTGGTTCCGCCACACATACACTGCTTAGTACACACACACACAGACTGCTGAGTACACACACTAGCAGACTGCTGAGTACATACACACAATCTGCTGAATACATACACATGCACACACACAGACTGCTGAATACACACACACTGCTGAGTACACACACTCACAGAATGCTGAGTACACACACTCACAGACTGCTGAATACACACACACAGAGACTGCTGAATACACACACACACACACACACACACAGACTGCTGAGTACACACAGTCTGCAGAATACATACACACACACACAGACTGCTGAATACACACATACATACTGCATTGAGGGGTGCAGTGTATGTGTTTGTGTGTAAGGGTGTGGAATGCTGTGTGTGTGTCTGAGGGGTGCTGTGTGTGTGTGTCTGAGGGGCGCTGTGTGTGTGGTGGGTAGGGGTGCTGTGTGTATGCGGTGTAGGGGTGATGTGCTGTGTGGGGGTAGGGGTTAGGGGTGCCGTGCTGTGTGGGGGTAGGGGTGCTGTGCTTGGGGGGTAGGGGTGCTGTGGGGTTAAGCGATTGCTTTATTAACAATATTGGGGAGTGAGGGTACTTCTGTGCTTTGGGGAGTAAGGGCTGTAGTGGTAGGGGTGTGTAAGGTGCTGTGTGAAATTAGGGGAATTGTAATGAAGTAGGAATACTAATGAAATTAGGGGAGTGCTATGGGGAATAGAGTGCTAATAACTCTAGGTGGTAGAATGATCTAAGGGGTAGGGTGCTACAGGGAATGAAGGGGTGCTGTGTGAAGTAGAGGTGCGTAAGTAGAGATTAGCACTGTGTGGGGGTAGCGGTGCTGTGTAGAGGGCTAGGGGTTCTGTGCTGTGTGGGGTAGAGATAAAAATACATTTAATTAAAAAAAAGTTATATTAATTCTGTATCCCCCCTCCCTTCCTCTTACCTTTGGTGAAGGAGGGGGGACACAGCCATCCCTGGTGGTCCAGTGGTGGTAAGTATTGTAGGAAGCAGCTCCCCTGTGGGGGTAGGGGTGCTGTGTGTGGGTAGGGGTGCTTTGCTTTGGGGGGTAGGGGAGCTCTGGGGGTAGGGGTGCTGTGGGATACTGTGTGGGGGGTTAGGGGTGCTGTGGGAGGGTAGGGGTGCTGTGCCTGGGGGTGCTCGCAGGGGTTCTGTGGGGGTAGGGGTGCTGTGGGGAGGGGTTCTGTGGGGGTAGGGGTGCTGTGTAGGGGGTTAGGGGTGCTGTGTGGGGGGTTAGGGGTGCTGTGCTGTGTGGGGTAGGGGTAAAGATACATGTAATAAAAAAAGTTATATTAATTCTGTATCCCCCCTCACTTCCTCTTACCTTTGGTGAAGGAGGGGGAACACAGCCATCCCTGGTGGTTCAGTGGTGGTAAGTATTGTAGGAAGCAGCTCCCCTGTCCTCCCGTGCGATGCTGTGTGGAGCGTTGCCATGGTAAAACGTGGCAACGCTCCACACAGCTTGCTCGCAGGAGGATAGGAGAGCTGCTTCCTAGAGCCCTCCCCCGCCTCCCGACCCGGAAGCAGAGTAGGCGCCTGCTGTTTCGGGCAGGCAGGTGCCTACTCTGCAGACAGCAAGCGGCCCTCTCTCCCGGCGACCTATGGCCGTGTGCCCACAGAGAGGGCCTGGCATGCCACAGGTTCGCCATCATTGCTGTAGGTGGTGCCTTGGCTGGTTTTTGAACACGGAATATTCCCTGCAGGTCAACCGCCCTGGCGACTTTCGGTGTCAGCAAGGCCACCAGGAGGCGTCAGGTGAAGTGTGTTAATTCAGCCTCCGGAATACTCTCTGAGACCCTCTTGATTTTTAGGTTCTTCTGTTATCGCCTATCTTTTTTGGCAGAGATACTGTATTCATACGTTTTATTCTGTTGCAGCAGTTCTCTGACCTCCTGTTGTAGGGCTGGTATTTGTTGTGTGTGGTTGCCTGATGTGCCTTCCAGTACGCCAAGGCGGCCAGTCAGACCTCGTAGGTCCTCATGTATCATGACCACATCATCCAATATTTTCTTATGGAGATCCGCCTTGAGCTCCCCAATATCCGCCAGTGTCACCGGTGCGGCGTCAGTCCCTGGCGGTGGAGGTTGTGTGTGAGCTGGTGGGAGAAGTACCGGTGCAGGTGATATTTCCTTTGCCTCCTAGTCAAACAACCCATCAGAGAAGTCTAAGCAGCCTCCAGCAAGGGACGCCATATTTGGCTTGTGGATGCCATGGGCCGACCTCCACAAGTCTCCAATGCTCATACCCAGCCGGGGTTTGTCCAATTTTTGTTTCTTTGATTTGCAACCCATGAGGTTCAGGTGAGTTTAAAATTCCAATGAGCTCAACCTGAGTGTGTAATAGTATGGGTATAGGGTATTTTCATTGTTTGTATCACAGAGTTTTGAGGCCATGCGACCAGAGGTAATATATAAATATTTCACACTAAACTAGTTCATAAAATAGTGTCAGTCATCAAATCATTGCCGGCTTTAGTAACAAAGGTCCTGATTGGGGTGACTGCGATAGTTAACAGGCTGATAGACGTTGTGTCAGCACTGACACACTACACCCTGTTCCAAATTATTATGCAAATGATATTTTTCTCATTTACCTAAATAATTGATGTAAATAACAGTCAGCACAATTCTCATGTTACATGTTATCAACTATTAAGAGTACAATTCAAATTTTATTGCACAGACCTCCTAATGATAACAGTATTTTTTTTAAACATAAAAAACTTACAATGCACTGTTCCAAATTATTACGCACAGTAAGTTTCAAAACACTTTATAGGTTGTAAAGAACTGAAAATTGCCATTTGTTGTGTTTGCAGCATATTTACTGAAATCAAAAGCTATTTCAATCAAACTTATAACAACATTTTAACTTTTTAAACATTTTAACAGGTCACGTTACATTTTAACATAGGACCCCTTATTTGATAGCAGCTTCACAAGTCTTGCATCCATTAAACTTGTGAGTTTTTCGACAGTTTCTGCTTGAATTCGTTTGCAAGATGTCAGAATAGCCTCCCAGAGCTGCTGTTTGGATGTAAACTGCCTCCCACACTCATAGATCTTTTGCTTGAGAATGCTCCAAACGTTCTCAATAGGATTGAGGTCAGGGGAGGATGGAGGCACACCATGACTTTCTCTCCTTTTATCCCCATAGCAGCCATTGATGCAGAGGTATTCTTTGCAGCATGAGATGGTGCATTGTCATGCATGAAGATGATTTTATTACGGAAAGCATAGTTCTTCCTTCTGTACCAGGGAAGAAAGTGGTCATTCAGAAACTCCACATAATTTGCAGAGGTCATCTTTACACCTTCAGGGACCCTAGAGGGGCCGACCAGCTCTCTTCCCATAATTTCGGCCCAAAACATGACTCCACCACTGCCTTGCTGACGTCGCAACCTTGTTGGAACAGGGTGGCCGTCCACCAACCATCCACTACTCCATCCATCTGGACCATCCAGGGTTGCACGGCACTCATCAGTGAACAGGACTGTTTGAAAATTAGTCTTCATGTATTTTTCTGCCCAATGCAGCCGTTTGTGCTTGTGAGCATTAGTTAGTGGTGGCTGAATAGAAGGTTTATGCACAGTTGCAAGACTCTGGAGGATTCTACACCTTGATGTCCGTGGGACTCCAGAGGCACCAGCAGCTTCAAATATCTGTTTGCTGCTATGTAATGGTATTCTAGCAGCTGCTCTCTTGATCCGATGCATGAATCTGGCAGAAATCTTCCTCAATGTGCCTTTATCTGCACAAACCCGTCTGTGCTCTGAATCAGCCACAAATCTCTTAATAGTGCGATGATCACGCTTAAGTTTTCGTGAAGTATCTAATGTTTTCATACCTCGTCCAAGGCATTGAACTATTTCACTCTTTTTGGCAGCAGAGAGATCCTATTTCTTCCCCATATTGCATGAAAATGGTGCTATGCTTAATAATGTGGAACACCCTCCTTTAGTAGTTTTTCCTTAAATTGGGCTTGTAACGGCACCCCCAGGCATAAATAGGGGTTAACAGCCGTTTAGGAGATCTTCCCCTTCCAGAGATACAGGCACAGCTACTGCAGAACACCAAACTCCCGAACTGGATACAAAATAGCACTCCAACTCCCGAACTGGAACCTCCCAAATAGCTGCTAGCAGACGAACAGGAAAAGCAGACAATCAGCTTACACTCCTGGCAATTAGTCTCTAACAACATACAGTGAATCCCCCCAAGAACGAGACAAGGCTCCGTGTTGAGGGTCAAGCAGTGGTCTGAGGCGCAGGCACACCCAGCCTGG